GTGTCCTTAAAGACTTTGAGGAAGTTCTGAAGAAGTGAAAGAAAGAGGAAGAAGTGGCAGACCTTAAAAAAATATGTGCAGTTGATGAACTGTCTCTGAAAGTCAAGTCCATAATAAATAGGAAAAATCCAACAAAAACCTGTGTGTCTGATGCTTCAGGAGATCAATCTTTCCAAAGCCTCATCAGAAAAGTTCTCAGTGGAAGGGTGGCAGTCAAGAAGCCTTTCTTAAGGAAGGCAAACAAGGAGAAAAGGGTGAGGTATGCCAAAATACACAAGAACTGCACAGAAAATCAGTGCTAACAATTTTTAGAAAGTGACAAATCCAAATTTGAAATGTTTGGTTTAAATCATCGTCGATATGTATGAAGGAGGTCCAGAGAGAGGTACAACAGTGGGTGTCTCTTCTAAAAGAGGTGGAGGCTCTGTCATGGCTTGAGGCTGCATTTCAGCCAGTGGTGTTGATCTTGTGAAATATGAACACATAAAACCATCAGATTTCGATTCACTATGCAGTAACATCTAGAAAGAATCTGATTGCTAACAGCTTCATTTATTAGCATGGAAATTATTCCAAATACACTGCATACCTGAATTGGAAACATACAGTTAAACATTATGAGTCATGGTTTGGCCTCCCCAGTAACATTATTGAAACTAGAGACTTTATAAAAGAGAGACACGAGACTCAACAAATCCTGAATATGAGAAGTTTGTAACTCTAATAATGGCCGTCAACCTCACCTGTCTCCCAACAGCCAATCATATTGTTGCACTGACATATATCCATTTGTTATGGAAGTAAAAAATCAGCTGAGTGTCCTTATTCCTCTCAGCTTCCTGTGTCTATGGGATGAGCCATGAGTCATTATCATATCCTCACTTTGGACTGTTAAAGAAGCTGTAATGTGTAACTTTCAGCATGCGTGGTAAAAGTATAAGCTAAAGCTAAAAAAAACAAACTCGTGCAATATTTATATCCTGCTGACCCTTGAAAGTGAGCTTATGGTTCTCATCCATTTAGTCGCCTAGAGATATGACCAAAATGTCTGTGGTAAGACTTGTTTCTATAAGGAGTTTGCTGTGACAGTTATATTTTACTCTTTTCAGTAGGGCAGGGCAATATGGCCAAAAATATTTATCACGATATATATTTGAAATTTTGCGATAATGATATAACTGACGATATAATTGACGTGAGACAAAAAACTTTACAACTCCACAACTTTATTAGTGCAAAAAAAACCCCATCAATGTATTTTTACTTAAACAAGCAGCTGTTTTTTATGTGCATTAAAGTTATATAAAAATGTAACAGTGCAAATTCCTCGCTGACAGTTTAACCAAAAGGCATTTCCAGTGGAAATTGGCCGACATATCCTGAGCAGAACCATGTATAATATCCACAAAACTTAAGGTTATATAGGTTATAAACACACAATACGGTAATATTATGTTGAAGCACAGTACGTATCACTCAGCGAGGCTCCTGACTACGGTAGCCATAATGCTCGGACAATCCATCAAGCGGTGCGGCTTTGTAGCTACCAAAGTTGTACTAAAACATTTTTTGACAGATTTTCGAGCGCTGTGTACCACATAAAATCGGTTCGAGGTCAGTAAGCACAACCAGAATTCATACATAAGGCACACTGGATTATAAGGGGCACTGTCGATTCTTCAGAAAATCAAAGGATTTTGAGAGCGACTTAAATTCCAAAAAACACGGTAATAACGACGGCCCACTTGCATGCTCTACCAAAAAATGGGCTTTGTTGTGTATCTGACGGACAAAAGCCAAACCAGTTCCACACCACTGAAGTTGCAGCATTTTTACAAACCATTTCTGGTTTCATCTGCCCTTCTCATTCTCCGTCGCTGCCTTAGTTTTTCTGCCATGTGCGTATGAAAACAAAGGCACAGCGCATTTTACCCATATTCTATCGCCATATTCTATTTTCTTATCATTCCTAACATTATACTGGTATTACTGTGAACTGTATGATATGGCCCAGCCATACTTTTCCATTTACTAATTTTCATCTGTTTGCAGTAAGACAAGCAATATTTCACCTGCATTAAATCAAAATCATGTTTACATTTCCCTTCTTGACTGGAACATTTGGATCAGTTTTAAATCATATAACAAGCGATTAAATTACACAAGATCATGAGAAAAAACATGTTGTCTGACACCTCATGACCCTGATGAAGGCCACAACCCGAAACGTGTTGGTCAATTATTAAAGTTGTTCATCTTCCCTCAAGTGTTGCTGGAGTTCCTGCATTGTGACCTCTTTCACAGAACGAAACCAAAACCTCAAACGTTTTATCTCATTAAATGGTAAATGGTAAATGGCCCGTATTTGTATGGCGCTTTTACTAGTCCCCTCTAGGAACCCCAAAGCGCTTTACACACCCAGTCATCCACCCATTCACACACTGGTGGAGGCAAGCTACAGTTGTAGCCACAGCTGCCCTGGGGCAGACTGACAGAAGCGAGGCTGCCATATCGCTCCATCGGCCCTTCTGGCCAACACCAGTAGGCGGTAGGTGAAGTGTCTTGCCCAAGGACACAACGACTGAGACTGTCCGAGCTGGAGCTCGAACCGGCAACCTTCCGATTACAAGGCAAACTCCCAACTCTTGAGCCACGATCGCCCCCTCTAGTGGCCAAATATTTGGTGTAACATTTGAATTAGTTATGAAATTGCAGAAGAAAACTGTTGTTTTCTTTCCAAAGCACAGGCTGAATGAACCTCAAAGCTTTCTTTTCCTGCAGTGTTTTTTTCTTTTAAGGTGACTTATATCAGAAATATTGAAACACACAAACAAATATGGCAGGCAATTCTACCAGGTGCTGTTGAATTCATATCACGCTCTGCCTAAACCAGGACGGGGATGAAATATGCAGAATAAATCTTCATCTGTGCACGTTGACAGTCCCGACTGAATCTCAGATATCTGATGCTAAGATGAGAGAAAAATTAAGCAGCCACTTCCCTCCTATTGCCACTGAACGCAAGCTAAATTTAGCTCTCCTATTTTTGGACCATCACCCTCAATAAAACACATGATGCCGTGCGGAGATGAAAGATCTGCTTCTGTCCTCATTTAGGCCGCAGATGCGCCCACACACTCATACATGAGCATGAATGATCCAAACAGTGACTTCATGCACCAGTTAGCTCATCTTGCTGTCACATGTTGCTAATGGTAACAGCCCAGTTTCTCACATTTGCCTTTCTTTCATTTTTGAATTACAGCAGGATCTAAGGCACTGCACTTCAACACTGTTAACGGCTTTAACTGCCAAACAAGATGTACTTTGATATACTTAATCAGATCAGAAACTGTATATGGCAGCCCACCCACTTCAAAACCAGTTCAAACAAAGAAAAAGCCACACTGAGATCCTTTTATGTTAATAATATAAATTCAAAAAGAAAAGGAGAGAAAAAACGTTTTCCACAATAATTAGAGCTGCATAGAAAATAAATTATCTCATGGAGTAATTGATATTCTGATTTTCCATCTGACAGTATACATATTATATCTGATCCAGCATCCATATGTTGTTGAAAATCGTGAAATGTTTTTGGGGTTTTTTAACCTCTTAAGCCCCAAGCCTAACTGATCTCCTGCCTTTTCCCGTATCAGGGGGCGTTGGGGCTTAAGAGGTTAATCTAGTTAAATAGCTAAAACATCTGTTTTAAGTCTGCTTAAATGAATTACAACTGACTAATAAATTATATTTTTACTATAAACAGTATTATGCATTTACTGTGTACAATCAAAGTAGAAAAAATGCTCAGGATAATTTATTTAATTTCACTTTCACTTTATTTATTTGCTAAAGGCTATGCAGCGTTTGCTGCTGATGTTAGGATTGCACCTAGACATGACAGGCAATGTAGCTTATATGCACAATTGTATATTTATTGCAAGTGAACTCTTTAGGAATATATATAAAAGAGGGAATGAGTGATATTCCAGATAATTTGGGTAATGATTTAGAATTCACCCAAAGCAAGCAGAAGACCATCTGTGAATGCATATTATATTGAACCTTGAATAAATGGGCCACGGTAACAGAAGACCACACTGGGTTTCACTGTTGTCAGCTAAGAACAGGAACAACAGCAAACTGAGGCTTCAATTTGCACAGGCTGAGCAAAATTAGACAACAGAAGACTGGAAAAACATTGCCTGTTCTGATGGGCCTCGATTTCTGCCGTGACATTCGGATGGCAGGTACTGAATCTGGTGTAGCAGTTAAGGTTGGTGGTGGTGTAATGATGTGGTCTAGGCACACTTTGGGCTCCTTAGCCATTGTCCTTTCCATTCTTTGCCAGTGTTTTTTGATCAATTAAACTCAAATTAAATAGTGATTAAATGCCTCACAGAACTATCTTAATTGCTTGTTGTGAGTCAAGACAAATTACGGTTGTCTTGACTCACAGCAGGACTATAATTTAAGACTGCTGTAGTAAAAGGAGGATTGTGACTCCCATCTGCACTAATTTAAATTCAGTGGTATGGCTTTATTCTGGGACACATCTCTAAGAGCAGGAGCAAGACCCCCACCCCCCCGAGGCTGGGGTGGAGATGGTTTGTAATGTAAATTTTGCAGATATGCAGGAACTGTACACAATCTGAAGCAGCTTAAATAGCGCGCCCTATATAAGATTTGCTAATTGGATGTGTGGAAGCTTATCAGCTGAGACGTCAGCTGATGTGATCTGGGATTGAGATCAGCTGATCTGCCTGGATTGTGACTGAGATTGACCTCATGATCTGCCTGAAACAGTACTGTGCTTGGTTAATATAGAACAGAGAAAAGCAGGAAATCCTCTCGTCTGCCAAACTGCAATCAGTGACTGTTTCACAGTTTTTACTTGATGAGAGATTTCAGCAACGTTTCTGACACTTCCTGAAAATGATGGCCACATCACGTTACCATCTTTTAGAAATGTTCTGCTTGTTTGGGTTGAGCTTAGCGCCTATGCCATCTGCATGTCAGAATCTATTAAATGCATGCTGGGAACTGTCTCCATCTCCTTTCTCTTCAGCCTGACCATCCATCTGTCCACCTATTTGTATCTGCAGTCTTTCCCCTCCTTCCTCTAAGATCTCCCTCTACCACTCGCCCTCTCATTAGAGCTGCTGAATTATTTAACATCAGACAGTGGGCTTGGCTGCTGAGCCAGAAGGAGATGAAGAGGAGAGGAGGAAAAGCTGGAGAGACGGGGAAGCATGGAGGTGTCCGATACTGCGGGAAGTCGTGAGTCAGCAGGGAGAGAAAGGAACAGTGGGAGGGAGGAGTGAAGGAGTTTATAGATAGCTTTAGGTGATACGACAGGAGAGAGTGGCGTCAAATGCCTCCCGGTGCGTTTGTGTCCGTGTTTGTGCATGCGCGCATCGATTGAGCGGAGAAGGTCATGGAGCTGAGAGGAGATTAGCAAACTAGACTCGGAGTAGGGGGAGCACGGCAGCAGAGCTAACGCCTCCTCTGAATAGCGCAGAAACAGGAGGGCTCAATACAAAAAGGACAAGAGGAGCTGTTGCAGTATGGGGGAGAGCTATATGTACCAGCGACTCCCCTACACCAGAGGAGAGGGGGAGGGGGAGGACGAAGAGGCGGGAGACAGGAGTGTCGGTGGACAAATGGTAAAGTCTGAAGTTGTGGGTGGATGTGCAGCATCTCTTCTTCTCTGGCTGTAATTGTCTGTGTCTTTTTGTTCAGTATTTTTCTATGAATATAAGTGTGGGTGTGGGGATGCAGGTGTATTGATCTTGGGTCTAATCTTACAACAGACACCAGATTTCATTTGATGTCTGTTTAAATTATTTAGTATCCTCATGGTTTAAAAAACAGTGTCTACTTTGTGAACCCTGTAACTGCACCAGTTATAAGTTAAACCAAAATACTTCATTCTGAATTCAGTTTTAGGGTCTAAAATTACCCAACAGCAATTGACTGTAAAGCAATAAATTAACAAACAAGCAAACAAATGTATTCCTGCCACTTAATTATGGAAGCTTCTTTCTGCAAGTCTGCAGAGGTAATATCAAGTTAATTTGGGTTATTGTCTCAAAATTGCATGTCAAAATTTTGACTTACTGATTGAGTATCTCAACATTTTAGAGTTACTTTTGATTAAGTAGGTCAACATTTTGAAATTTTAACTCACCTCTGCCTGGATTTTCTTGTTTTGTTTGTTCTGTTTTTTAATTGTGAATGGCAGACAAAAGCCTTCACACTTAATCGTGTTGCTACCATTACATTTTAACCATTTTGTGCTAGTCTAATGCTTAAGTCATGGTTCCACAATTGGGGCTGTTTGAACATGCGTTTGCCTATGGAGAGGGGATTTCAGCCAACTCAAACATGTTTCTGTGCGTAATGTGCTGCTCCCAAGGGTAAAGTTTAGTTTTGCAAAGAGCTCTATGACAGCGCTGTATTAATGCGTTTACATCTTTTAATAGTTTTGAAATATTAGGATGAAGCTATACAAAAAGCAAGAAGCTAGAGCTAGTGGTTGTTTACCTTAGCTTAACAAAGACTGTAGACTACAGTTACAGACAAATGCTGTAAAGGTAACGCTCACAAACACTCTAAAGATCTAATGAACATTTTGTATCTTTATTAATTATCCAAGAGAGTTGTCACTTCACTTATTCTGCCTCAACAAACACAGAATATTGCTAATTAGATGCAATTTACTTGGATTTTTCTCTTTCACATAGAGCCTGGCTAGCTCCTCTGTTCTTGGCTAAATTAAACCACTGTTGGTTTTAGGCTTGACATCAGTAAGTGAAGTTTGTATGTAAGAGTGCCATTAGATTAAGGCAAAGTAAATGTTGTAGTATATTGTCACAGTATACGGTATACAATTAAAGCAATTAGTTAAGAGGAAATTGTAGTTTGCTTATCATGAAATGGTGCAAAACTGGTTTTAGTTAATAACTGAAAGTCTGTGAAAAACAACTTTCAACATGTGAATCGGTGAATCTGCACATTTGCTGCACATGCAAAATGACTCCTGCTTCGAGATCAGGAGGAGACACAAATTCCAGCCTTAAGGGGTCTCAAGCTAGTGTACTCCTCGTGTCTGCACAAAGCCTGGATAAGTGGGAGGGCTGCGTCAGGAAGAGCATCCAGCGTAAAATCGGTGCCAAATCAAATTTGCAGATCTATCCGCTTTGGCTACCCCTTGGGAAATAAAGGAGCAGCAGAAAGTACCTTTTGCTGGGGGATCTGCAAAAAAAGATGAAACAGTAGCGTCCTAAACAATTGTAAGAAAATGTGTTTGTTGAATCTTGAAAGTCATTTTCAGGAGTAAAAATGCCCCAAATTTTCTTACTCCAGCTTCTTAAAATATGAGCACTTATTGTTTTCCGTTCTTGATGCTTTTCCAGATATCTAATCATTACATTGGTGCTGCAGATGTCACATCCCATCAGTCATTTTATCTTTTCATAGCTGAGTGTAGCTCCTGCACTTAGAGCACACATTACAGTGTGCCCATTAAAGGGGTCCATTAACATCACGCTCAGTAATGGAACAATTCAATCACATAAGCAGAGCTATGTTAAAACTGCAGGCTGTTAACAGCACTGTATGCATGCTGATGCAGGTGAAATGTGTGTTTGCTGTACAGATGCAGTGTGAGGAGGGCACAGAGTGGCTGCTGGAGCTGCTGACAGACGTGCAGCTGCAGCAGTACTTCCTGCGGATCCGTGATGATCTCAACGTCACACGACTCTCACACTTTGACTACGTCAAGAATGAAGACCTGGAGAAGATCGGCATGGGACGCCCAGGTACCTCTTTAAGTGTTTTTCACCCCAAACCTACGTGATAAACAGGTAATCTAAACAAATATCAGATGTGTCTGAGTGTTATCTTTCAGAAAAATACTCTATAAACATACAATAAAATCCAGGTTTATTTGTGTTTGTGTTTTTGCTGGTCCAGGTCAGAGGAGGCTCTGGGAGGCAGTCAAGAGGAGACGAGCCCTTTATAAAAGAAAATCCTGGATGAGCAAGGTGCAGTACCTCTCCTGTCCTGAAAGTTGCTCAAGCAAGGCTGCAATCTCACAATATGATGTTCATGTATAAGCTGCATTTGTAAAAATGTCTGCTTTCACCTTCAGGTATATTTAGGAAAAGGAATTTTAGTTTGTATTGATGTGGCTTTGATTCTAATTTTATTTTTTTCATGTTATGTCACATGGTCTATGTGTGTCTTTTATCAAAATAGGTTAATTTAGATTCATTTAGATTCAAATCAAGCGTGTTTGCATGCATAAGAAGTTTCTGGCCCTGCAGGTGTTTCCAGTGAAACGACCAGACGCTGACACGCAGCAGCCCCACGGGGCATCGTCTGCTGAAGTCCCGGCCAGTAGTGAGTCAGGGGCCGCGCTCACCTGCCTGATTAGAGAGTCGGAGCTTCAGCTGTTCGAGCGGCTTGGAGACGGGACATTCGGGGTGGTGCGGCGAGGAGAGTGGACTGCACCCAACGGCAGAGTGGTGAGATGAAGAAACACAGTATGAGACAGCTGAGAATGTATGACATAGAGGCTCAGGGTGTGTTTGCCCACAAACAACCCACTTGGGTCCCATCTAGGCTAAGCATGTGGGTCCCATAGCAGTTTATCCCTTTGACCTGTAAGAAATATATCTGTGGGCAATAGGTCACTGATTTCTAGAATCGATTCGATTCCGATTCACAAGGTGTTGAATCGATTAGATTCAGTTTGATTAGATTCAGTTTGATTAGATTCAATTCGATTTGAATCCGGGAAATTTTGCCTCAGACAGTCAGAAATATTATAATTCAGATCAGTACATTTACATATTTTTGTATCTATAAAAAGGAAGCTGACACTTTCCAGACTTTATCAAAGGTGTGAGCATCACAGCAGAGGCCTTTGTGTCAAAGTAGCTGAAGATAAAACACAGA